TTATGAAATGATTTCTGGATTAGGCATTGTGGAGGGTCTTGTTGTGGATAAGTGTTTGATATTCAATATATCTGTGAATCCAATGAGAGTTTGTGGATATGCGCATACTAATATAAGATATCCTTGTGGGTCGAGCCACCGGCAGATGGTGTCACGCCCCGAACCCCACGGTGCGCCACATCCCTCGCAAAGGTCGATTCAAGTGCGATGTCCCAGGACGCGTCGCCAACCCAACGCTCAAACAGAGTACAAGGCACATGCGGAAGCATTACAACACCCGAACAATTTAAAACCACCTAACCAAGGATAGCCGCACAACAACCAACAAGAACAAATATACACTTGCATTGATACTGGGGACCATATACAATATCCATTTACAGCCCACGCTCAAAAATCAAAAGCGGGTCAACAGCCACCAACATCAAAAAAAAGGGGGGTACGAGGCTCGGCGGTCAAGCATTATATCTAACCGGGGCTCCTCCCAAAATGTATCGGTACGCCTGTCATCTTCAAGGCCGGGGGTCTGAAAAATTGATTTTCAACAACAGTGAGAATGAATCTCAACGAGTAGGTTCCCTAAACCTAAGCTAGTCTAACATGCACCTCCTGACGAGCACTAAACAACACACCAATCAAGCCATAATTGACTTAGGCCCTCGGGCCCAAATCCAATACTCACCTTGTCCTGCAAGTTAGGCACTTACAATTCAAGAATAAAACATAGGACCCAAACGCAACACATGCGCACATTACTTGGTCACAACACATGTCATGCTTATGCTTGTGCTCATACGCGTGCTCACGCCTCATCAATGCATTTTCGCACGCTTGCACTCAGCACACTTGCCATTTATCAATTTCTCCTCCGACCCGCATTAAACGCATCAGGTCCGACCCGCGTAAAACGCATCAGGTCCATCACTTCGAGATCGATCTCTAGCCCGCGTAAAACGCATCAGGCTCATGGCACAACACCCGCGTAAAACGCATCAGGTTTGGCCATCTTCCGGTAGACCGGGCATCGTCCCGCGTAACACGCCTCAGGACGGGTTCACAACCCCGCGTAAAACGCATCAGGATTTATTATGATCACACATTCACAAGCACCAATTTTCATCTGAACCCCGCGTTAAACGCATCAGGGCATTTTAGGTGATCACAATGCACATGTCACTCGAGCACACTTGTAAATGCACATGCCGTGCCAATGCTCGTGATGCAAACTCATGGCCATAAACTTCACACTCGAGCATTCACGATTTTCACAATGAGCATTCAATTGCACAACGCCGCTTATTTAATTCACCACATAATATGCTCAATTCAATAAATCACAAGCCCAAGTAATCAACCATCCATTCCAGCCATGGCACAAACTTGGCACATAATTTACACATACAAATCACACAATTGAGTCAACATCAATTCACGCACTCGAGGCCCGGCAAGAGACTCCATTCTTAGTCACACTAGGCACGTGACACGGCACCACAAAATTGATCACAACCCAGTACAAATCAGCCACTTAGCCCGCCAACCTAAACATTCCCGATAATCACACAATTAACCTCCAAATTGATCGCTCATAGACCAATTCAAACCCGGTATGGACAGCCACCAAACAAATCGTCCTAGGCCAACAAATGTTCTCAAAACACTCCATTTGACTCCCCAAAATATCACTCAAATCAGCCACCATGAGGACCAAATGAGGCGCGCACTATAATCCACATTTAAACCCGAAATTAACCCCAAACTCGGGCCGAATCATTCCAATACTTTCAACCTTCATGCAGCACATTCCAAGTCATTACACCTCATTAAAATGATCCCGTTAGACCACCAAAACCGCCATGAAAACAGCCGCTATTCGGTCTTCAATTTACACCCGCCAAATTCACAATTTGTACCCGAACCAAGGCGTCAACGCTCAGCCACTATCCAGCACACCACAGACCACTAAACCTCGATTAGAACATCATGCTAACCCACCGAATGCGCCACAACATCAGCCCTTAACAGCCTCCACAAACTAACCCCCAAATTGATCGCGCCTTATCCGATTCAAACCCGATATGGACAGCCCCCACACCAGTCACTCTAGACCACTAAATATCCTCAAAATGCTCCATTAGACTCCCCAAAACACCATTCTAGTCAGCCACCACAAGATCGAATAAGGTGCGTACTATAATCCCCATTTCAAACCCGAACTTTCCCGAACTCGGGCCATTCCGATTCAAACCTGTCCAGCCAATGTACAGCGCCTCTCGGGCCACTAAACCTCCATTAATTCATCACACTAATTCACCGAATCCGCCACAATAACAGCCCCTAATCACCTCCACAATTTAACCCCCAAATTAACCTAATTAAACCCTAAAACCCATCTAGAAACACACATTAGTCTAATTAGGGTTTAGGGTTGTACTCACTTGGATTCCTAGGCTCCAAATAGAAATGAGCAAGTGGCAATGGCGGCTGGACAGCGGCGGATCCGCGCCGAACAAGCAAAGGCGAGCGGCGGCTCCCGTGCGCCAAGCCCCTAAAGCGGCCGAGAAAGAGAGAGAGAGCAGGAGGGGGAGAGACACGGCAAGAGGGAGAGGGAAGGAGACGGAGTGGTGATGGTGGTGAGGCGTGGGGCGGTGGCACCGGCGGCGGCGAGCTGGGGCGACGAAGATTCGGCGGAACGGGGGAGGAGAAGAAGTGGGGCTGAGACGGGTGGTGCGGCCCAGGGGCGCTCGGCGCGGCAACGGCAGCTCAGGCGTCGGGACGGCGTCGGGTAGGCTGGCCGGACAAGCTGGACGATGGCTGGGACTCGCCGGGCGCAACGGCAGCGAGCTATCGGTTCTTGTCTTGTATGGAGGAGAGACCCGGTCGATCGGGGCGACGGCAGCGGACGGCGCGGCACACGGCGGTCCGAGCTGGTCCAGGCGGCGGCGGCGGCGCAGCAGCGGCGGCCCGAGGGCGAACTCAGGGCGGTCGGCGTCAGGCTGGGCGGCGAGCGGAGGTGAAGCCGAACCAGACGCGGCGGAGAAGGAAGAGAAAGAAGAAGAAAAGAAAAGGAAAGGGAGAGAGAAAAAAGAGAAGAGAAAGAAGGAGAGAGGAGAGAGAAGAGAGAACGGACGCATGTGGAAAAAGGAACGTGCGCGGCAGAGGAGAGAGGAGAGAGAAGAGAGAGAATAAAAGAAAATATTTGAACATTCAAATATTATTTGCAATCCGATAGCCCAAATTAAAAACCGAAAGTGGTCTACCGGTCCAAAATAAGCCTCGCACATAAAAAGGGACAAAGGCCAAATTAATTAAACCAAATCATAACGAGGGAGGTCTACTAGTCCAAATTCGCACGTGGTCAAAAACTCCCCTTTTTCCATCATTCCTGACAATCTCAACGCTGGCCACAACAATATCGACACCGTCCAATTTATTACGTCCCGAAACTCCCGAAAATCGACTGCCAAGTTCGGGGTCTAAATAACAGTCAAATTCGATTGAGTGCGATTCTAGCGAAATCTCTAATTTAAAAATAATAACCGAGAGTGATCAGTTCTCGGGCGAGATTTTACTATAAGCACACTGACAAATTACACGTTTTATAAATCCCAAAAATAGGCCGAAATTCGGAATGTCACAGGTGGAGACCTTGTTAAGGGGGAATCTTGATCGCCTTTTCATGGGCCGTTATCCGTGATCATGGTTAGATTTCTGGGCATGAGATTAGCCAATGAAATAGACCATTGGCATATATTTTCGATAAGATTAGCCAATGAAATGGACCATTGACGTATGTTTTCGATGAGATTGACTAATGGACTGGACCATTGATTTTTGCTTTGATATTATTGATTAAAATGAGTTTTTCTTTCGTGAAAATGTTATGTTAAAGTAGTATATAACGTATTTTGACCTCGACGTTTGTTATATGCTGGAATTGGGTTAAATGGCTTATGTTTGTGTGCCTTAAACATGCATAGTGGATGCTCAATCCACTTAGAAGAAATGTATTACTCACTGAACCGTGATAGCTCATTCCATTCATCTTTCGTGTTTTTCAAGTTCCTTGGTTAGTAGCAAATAGAACGAGAGCGATGTCGTGGGACTTTTGGGAGATTGTTCTTTGGTTGTGGTTTGAAGCTGCGTTATTCGAGTAGAAGAACGGCCGTGTCATTCCCCATCTTGGTAGGTTTCGGGGTGTGACAATTGACATCATAGAATCGATGATTTTGGATTGTGTCAAATTCTACTGCAACAATGTGGTTCGTGGCGTTGCCATTGTTGGTTTCACTGGAGAGGCCCATGTAATAACTAGGCAGAGCTCCGGGAAATAGAGCTCCGAGAGGCAGAGCTCTGGGAAATTCTCTACTAGGAGCTAACCCAAAGGCGAACCCGTGGCCACCCAGAGGTGAATACTCATAAATCATAGTGAAGATGAACGTCATGGAGAAAGAGTAGACAAATCCACTGAATGAGTAGTTGAACTTTATTATTGAGTCAGGGTAGAAGGCATGACTCTGCTGTTGTTTAATTGTGTTGGTTAACGTTAGGAGGTCATTGCCCGTGATGCGGGTAAACCATCTAGGCTAGGATTCACTGACTGGAAACCATTGTACGTAAAACTGCTAGTATCATAAGCGAGTGCAAAGTTTGCCAGGGGAGAAACCGCCAGAACAATCACAAAAAACACATCCAGAAACTGGAGAAATTCGTTGCATACACTACTTAGAAGACATCCTTTGAATCTCCTAGGATCAACTTGAATCTAATGCAATTTCAGCTGTCAGTGCCCTGACTTGGATCACTATATATGCACCATTAACTCGTTGAATTTTTTAATCATATGGACCTGACCGCTAAACCATGCAAGGATTCAAACAAACTAGTAATAATCCTTATAAAAGGTGGACTTGCTCTTATAATTTGGAGGCTGACCAAAAGGGGAAACCAAAAAAGAAGGCAATTATGCTAGTGCAGACATTCCCACGAACAAGTGAATATACTGCATAAATTGGTTAGATCCATAGAATCTTAAAATTACAGTTCACATGTACTTGCAAAGTCGCAAACTACTAATACTTGATGTTTAAGACACTAGTTTGGTAATTACTTTGGATCTATGAAATGTGCTTTCAATTTAATATACCAATCTTAAGACTCATCTTCCTCCAGAGAGGACAGAGTCTGCTACAGAATATGCCTGTGAAAATGCCTTGTCCGAGGAAGACGGATAAGACATGCCAGACATACTAAAACCTTCATGATATGCAAATGTCAATCCACTTTTTAAATTACCAGGAGAGGATAACTCCTGCATTGCGACATCCCCTTCTAGGTACTGCACTACTTGACGCATTCTTGGTCTCGCTGTTGGCTTCGAATGGGAGCACATCAATCCAAGTTTCAACACTAGCTCCACATCCTTCGCCACGAAGTCTGTCCCTAAATTTGGATCTCTTGCCTCTAGAATGTCACCCTTATCCCAGCAAGAAAACACCCAGTCCACCAATATTACATCCTCCTTCTCCCGAGCCTCAATCGGCCTTCTTCCGCAAGCAACCTCAAGCAAAAATGCCCCAAACGCAAAAACGTCCGTGCTCGTAGTGGCCCTGGCGGTTCGAGCGATCTCTGGGGCCAAATATCCAAGAGTTCCCACCACATGGGTGGTTTGAGGATCAGTGCCATGATCGTATATTTTCGCAAGCCCAAAATCTCCTAACCTCCCATTTAGTTCTGAATCTAGCAAGATGTTGCTAGCTTTGATATCCCTGTGAATCACTACTCGTTCCCATCCTTCATGGAGATAAGACAGACCATGCGCAACACCTTTGATCACTCTAAATCTTTGGCTCCAATTGAGGGTCACCTTTGGTTGGTTATAGAGGTACTTGTCTAGGCTACCACTGGGCATATAGTCATAGACCAACAGCAGCTCACCCTTCCGACGGCAGTAACCGAGAAGCGTTACAATGTTCCGATGACGAAGCCGACCAATGCTAATAATCTCCGCAACGAACTCTCTCATCCCTTGCCTCGATTCATGAGAAACCCTTTTCACTGCAATCTCAGTTTTTGAGGTGGATAATACCCCTCTATAAACCCTACCGAATCCACCAGCTCCTAATAGCCCCTGATCTCTGAACCCCTTTGTGGCAACATAGAGATCTTTGTACTTGAACCTCTGAGGACTGTAGTCGCGCTCCCAATCCTCTAGAATCTCTGCGAATTTTCTCTTTCGTCTTATCAGATAAACCACAGCTAATATTAGCATTGACAGAAAGGACAACAACATGAAAGGCACTCCAATAGTAAGCAAGTATGATTTCTCCTCCTTTCTCACATGCGGTAGTCTAGGAAGCTGAGACAAAACCAATCCCTGAGCTTGTCCATTTACCTTAAAGCTCCATCCAACGATGTAATGAGCAGTTACTAATGAGCCGGTTGAAGACGAGAAACCCACGTACATGGTCTCCTTGATGATCGGTGAGAGATCAACGGACAGAGATAAAAGGGGAGTCTTCGGTTTCTCAACATTGATAGGAGCTAATGTGACGTTGAATTGCTTTTGCGAGCCATCATAATGCACCCAAACTTGCATGGCTTTACCACTCATCAGGCTCAAGTTTGTGAAGACCCCACCTGGACTTGCAGTGTATCCTGCCGGGGCAGATTTTACGGAGGTCAGCCCATTGATGTCGATCCCAACGTGGTTATCATTGATATCAAGGAATTCATGGTTTTGGATCGTGTCAAATTCTACTGCGACAATGTGGTTCGAGGAATTGCCATTGTTGGTTTCATTGAAGAGGCCAAAGTAATAACTAGGCAGTGCTCCGGGAAATTCTCTACGAGGAGCTAGAACGAAAGCGAACCCATAGCCGCCCAGAGGTGGGTACTCGTAAATCATGGTGAAGACAAATGTCGTGGAGAAAGAGTAGACAGATCCACTGGATGAGTTCTTGAACTTGATTGGGCCAGGGTAGAAGGCATGACTCTGCTTCTGCTTGGTTGCATTGGTTAACTTTAGGAGGCCATTGCCAGTGAATGCGGCTAAACCATCCAGGCTAAGATTCACCGACCGGAAACCATTGTATGTGAAACTGCTGCTATCCTGAGCGAGTGCAAAGTTTGCGAGGGAGGAAACCGCCAGAACAATCACAAAGAACATGTCCAGAAGCTGGGGAAATTAGCTGAATACACAACTCAGAAGATATCGTTTGAATCTCCCTAGAGTTGTTTCACTAGATATGCACCATTTACTCTTTAAATTTTCTAATCCTAGGACCCTACTGTCAAATCATGCAAGGATTCAAACTTGGTGTGCCACCCAAATCATACTCCATCTCTAAATTTATTTTTCCAGACTATGGCCTTGAGAATGACTCCTCATTTCTGTGACAAACTGATTGGCCTGAGACTCATCAGCATTTTAGAATTCTTCAATTGTTGCCTGTCCCTGTCTCCATTTTCCACATGTGTGGCCAAAATAGACTAAAGCGTCAGTCTACGGACACATTACTCCTGTTAAGGTTTATATCGTCTTCGGATAGTCGTCAATGACCCGATGCGTATGCAGAGTGCCAAATGTTATGAGGAAGTTTCCCAGCACAAACAAGCTTTCTGTTGTGAATTAAAAAGGAAATTAATAGATCTTGCAAATCAAATCTGACTTGTTAGCAGAAAAATCAACCAAAATGATAAAAAAAAACAGCACGTACTTTAGGCCGAGTGTCAATATCTACTTCACAAGAATAGCCAGCCATAAAGAATGCATTATCAATCAAAAATTTATAGAGTGACGATCAATCAATCAATCTCTCATCAGTTTCCCAACCCTAAGACAAAAATCCTCACAAGCACTCGTGTTTTTTTCACTAAGTTTCGCTAGAAAGCCTTAAGAGACACTCTAAACAGCTTGTGTTCGGGTTCAGTTTAAAATAAGAGAGGTAACATGCTTAAAAATGGAGAACCCGACCAAAGCCCAGGATGCGGGAATCCGGCCTGATTGTGGCCAGCTAGCCAGACCAGCCTTGATCCGGGAATCCTTGCGGCGTCCTTTCTCAACAGCAGACGCCTGCACTTAACCAATCCTCCTGAGCTTAGATCCCAACTCTGAAATGACATATTTGGCAAGAAATTGAGCCACAAAACTCAACAATTCTCCGCCTTGACTTGATGTTCGTAGCTTAGTTATAATGCTCAAAATCCATTCTGACTCTCCCAACGCTCCGACGAGCGTTCGTCATCCACAGAGGCCAATCAAGGTCTAGTGAAGCCTGAGCTTTGCCAGATGAATGAGCTGATCATCATGTTTACTGGATTCTCCGTTGTTGCAATATTTTTCATAACAGCCCTACCTTTCACCATGACATCTCAGATGAAATGATACTTAATATCGATTCGTTAGTTCAAGCATGATAAGTAGGATGTAAAGCCAAATATGTAGCATCTTGGTTGTCATGGATATTGTAACAATTTTCTGATCCTACACAAAGTCTAAAAGCAAACCACTTATCCATATCGTCTCCTTCGCTAGAAAAGGTTAGTGCCGTGTACTTTGTCTAAGTCTGTAACACCCCGGGTCTACACTGTGTAATATTGTCCGCTTTGGATCCGTCTCACGGCTTTAAAACGCGTTACATAGATATAAAACCCCAAACCTTATAAGCCAGTCTAGGACTCCCCCCCTAGGCGATGTGGGACAAGAGGCTTCCCCTCCCTTCCCTACGCACATCCAAGGACCGAGGCGCGGACGCACCGCCATCCCTCCTCCCTGCGCACCGCCGCCTGGGCTATCACACTCTCCACCCTTTAGGAGCACAGTGTCCTCACTGTGGTCTCACACACTGTCGGAAGTCGACTCTAATACCACCTGTAACGCCTCGAGTCTACACTATATAATATTATCCGTTTTGGACCCACTGACCCTCACAGCTTTAAAACATATTGTCTGGGGTAGAGGCGCAGTTGCATCGTCATCCCTCATCCCAGCACAATATTGTCTTCTTTGGGCCTCTCGCACTGGCGCGGATGCACTGCCATCCCAGCTACAAGCCTCCCTCAAGGCTTTGTTCTCAGCACAGCTGAAGCTTGTGTGGCTATAACACCCCAAGTATGTACTGTGTAATATTGTCCGCTTTAAAACCACTGACTCTCACGGTTTTAAAACGCGTTTCACACAAACTTCCGCTGTGCTGAGAACAAAGCCTTGAGGGGATGGGGTAGGTGAGTCCTGCACCCCAAAGAGGAAAATATTGAGCTCGGGAGAGGGATGGCGATGCGTTCGCACCTCCGCCCCTGACAACTCGTTTTAAAGCCGTGAGGGTCAGTGGGCCCAAAGCGGACAATATTACATTGTGTAAACCCAGGGTGTTACAAAGTCAAAGACAAGGCAACATCTTGCAAAGATGCCTTTCAACTCACTACACCACTTGCTAGCATAAACAGGTACATGTAACGGCCACTACCTAACTCGTGGTCTCACTGCAATTCGGTACTCCATACCGATGTCTATTGTCCCTTTCAAATATCTGAGGATACATTTCACGACCTCCTAGTGAGGGTAAAATTATTCAAAAAATCTTAAACCTATTGCACTTTTCTTAGTCATAAACCTTTTAACTGTGTCAATTGAATCCTAAATATTTTTTTCACGTTTTGCCATCCAGCCAATTTTGAATCACTATATATTGTTGTGTGATCCTCATACTGTTTACTTATTAGCATCTCACACGCTATGTCACATTTTTTACTATCTTGAGTGGTGATTATTTGATTTTCCATGAAGGTTTTATTATATCACCACACAACCTATTCAACCCCCTCGCCTTCTCGATCGTACTGTTAGCCCCAAAATCCACAACCCAAAGTTGTTCCTCCCATCAAACTTCTTAATTTCTACCTTTGCTCCAGAAATAATGGATTTTCCAAACAGTGGTTAGACAAGCAAAAACGCCAAATCAACTCTAGAACTGTAGCCCTAGCTCTGATACTAATTGTGGTCAAATAACACCGGTACTAACATATCTTACAAATCAAACATGAAGTCAAAAGAAGAAATTACCATAAAGTCAGCGAGGAACAGTAAAGGACACCAAATATATACGTAATTGGGTCTGAGTGTCGTTATTTACTTCATGAGAAGAGCCAACCGCAAAAAGTTCACGATCAATCGGAGATATTAGGGACTACAATCAATTGCTCAACCTCTCACATGTTTCCCAAACACCAAGACACAAATTCCCATAAGCACTCGTTTTTCAACGGTGGACGCCTGAACTCGACCAATCCTCTTGGGCTTCGATATATACTCCGAGACAACGGATTCGACAAGAAATTGAGCCACAAAACACGACATTTGCAGAGGACAGTAGTGTCCCCACAGATTTTAGGGCTTTTGTATGTTTCATATGTATGGCTTCTTCTTGAACTTGAGGAAGCTGAATACGTACAGTTGGGCAGTCTAATAATTTTATCTTAGTAGATGAGCTAAGTGCATTCTTTGTTTCACTAACTGGTCCTTGTCATTTCTTCGATCATAGGATCAACCCTTTTCAATCCTGAATAGACTTGCTAACGTCTGACTTTTATGTTCTCTGTAATTTGGAGGAAATTCGGCCGCAAGTTAATGTAATGTGTGTCAAATTCAAAGTTCTTACTGTACTTAGTTCTCATAAACAGGGTCAGTCTTTGTTCGTTTGATTGGAGGAGCGCTTATCCTACAAAAGCAGCGCCATTTAGGAGTTCATTGAAGAACAAATCGCTGCACGAGGTTCGTGATTAGCGAGCACTCTTACCATAACCGCCAAACCAACCTTTCACGAAAATACTTTCTTACATCTATTTACGATAGACAGAAACAACAGGCATAGCGGTCTGGACAATGACAGCCTTTGGTCACTTGATTCAGTGAAAGGCTTTATTGGCATGACATCTATGTTAGCATTCAATACGGCATCACATTAATATTCTTGCATGACATTTCTCAATTTTCTCCACTTATACATGTTAATAGATACTCTTCCTGAGAATAATTTTTCTGTTAGCATTCAATACGGCATCACAAACAAGTAATTATCCTTATACAAGGTAGACTTGCTCTTATAATTTGGAGGCTGACCAAAAGGGGAAACCAAAAAAGACAACAGTTTGCGCTAATGCAGACATTCCGAAGAACATCTAAGAATATGCAGCAGAAATTGGTTGACACATTGAACCTTACGCTACAGTATACATAGACTCACGGAGTCACAAACTACGAATACTTGATGTAGAACAACACTGGTTTGGTAACTGCTTTGGATCTACGAAATGTGCTTTCAATTTAATATACCATGCTTTAAGACTCATCTTCCACCAGAGAGGAGAGAGTTAGCAACGGTAGATGTCTGAGAAAATGCCTTGTCTGCGGAAGACGGACAAGACATGGCAGACACACTAAAACCTTCATTAAATGCAAATGGCAATCCGCTTTTTGAAATACCAAGTGATGATAACTCCTCTATTGCGAGATCGCCTTCCAAGTACTCCACTACTCGACGCATGCTTGGTCTCGCAGTTGGCTCAAACTGGGAGCACAACAATCCAAGTTGCAACACTAGCTCCACCTCCTTCGCCACAAGGTCCGTCCCTAAATTCGTATCTCTTGCCTCCAGAATGTCACCCTTATCCCAGCAAGAAAACACCCAGTCTACTAGTATCACATCCTCCTCCTCGCGAATCTCAATTGGTCTTCTTCCGCAAGCAACCTCGAGCAAAAATGCCCCAAACGCAAAAACGTCCGTGCTCGTAGTGGCCCTGGCTGTTCGTGTGTTCTCGGGGGCCATATATCCAAGAGTTCCCACCACATGGGTGCTTTGAGGATCGGTACCGTGATCATATAGTTTCGCAAGCCCGAAATCTCCTATCCTCCCATTTAGTTCTGAATCTAGCAAGATGTTGCTAGCTTTGATATCCCTGTGAATCACTACTTTTTCCCATCCTTCATGGAGATAGGAGAGGCCATATGCAACACCTTTGATCACTCTAAATCTTTGGCTCCAATTGAGGGTCACCTTTGGTTGGTTATAGAGGTACTTGTCTAGGCTTCCATTTGGCATATAGTCATAGACCAACAGCAGCTCACCCTTCCGACGGCAGTAACCGTGAAGCGTTACTATGTTCCGATGACAAAGCCGACCAATACTAATAATCTCCGCAATGAATTCTCTCATCCCTTGCCTTGATTCATGAGAAACCCTCTTCACTGCAATCTCAGTATTTGAGTTGGGTAATACCCCTCTATAGACCCTACCAAATCCACCAGCTCCTAATAGCTCCTGATCCCTGAACCCCTTTGTGGCAACATAGAGATCTTTGTACTTGAACCTATGAGGACTGTAGTCGCGCTCCCAATACTCAAGAACCTCTGCGAATTTCCTTCGTTTTCTTATTGCGTAAGCCACAGCAACGACTAGAATGGACAGAATAAACAAACACATGAAAGGCAGTCCAGTGGTGAGAAGATTGGATTTCTGCTTCTTTTTCTTATGGGGTAATCTGGGAAGTTGAGCCAAATCAAGCCTTTGAGCTTGTCCATTTACCTCAAAACTCCATCCGAGGATATAATGAGAAGTTAAGAGCGAGCCGGTTGCAGACGAGAACCCAACGTACATGGTCTCCTTGAAAATTGGCGAGAGATTGAAGGACAGAGACAAAAGGGGAATGCTCGGTTTGTCAACATTGACAGGAGCTAATGTGACACTGGTTTGTTTCTGCACAGCATCATAATCCACCCAAACTTGCATTGCTTTACCACTAATCAGACTCAAGTTTCTGAAGCCTTGCACGTTGTTTTCAGTGTATCCAGCTGGGGAAGATTTTACAGAGGTCAGCCCATTGACATCGATCCCAACATGGTTGTCATTGATATCACGGAATTCGTTGTTTTGAATCGTGTCAAATTCTACAGCGAAAATGTTGTTCGTGGCATTGCCGTTGTTGGTTTCATTGAAGAGGCCCAAAAAAAAACTAGGCCGAGCTCCAGGAATTTCTCTACGAGGGGCTATCACAAAGGCAAACCCATGACCGCCTACAGCTGAAAACTCGGGAATTATAGCAAAGACGAATGTGGTGGAGAACGAGTGGACAGCGCCGCTGGATGAGTTCTTGAACGTGATCGGATCCGGGTAGAAGGCATGACTTACCTTCTGTTTGGTCACGTTGGTTAGCCTCAGGAGGCCATTGCCAGTGAGTGCAGCTAAACCATCGAGGCTCAGATTCGCAGACTTGAAACCATTGTACGCGAAATCGCTGGTTTCGTGACTCGCTGCTGTGTTTGCCAGGAGAGAAACCGCCAGAACAATCACGAGGAACATGACCAGAGGGCTTTGAAGTTCCTATAATGATCCAAGAGACTTGCACAGCATCGAGTCGAAACTCATGCAATTTCAATCATTAGTGCCCCCCTAACAAACATACAACCGGCCTTCAGAATGAATCCTCTGTCGTGTGTTCAACTGATCGGTCCGAGTCATATTACACCTCTGTCGTTTGATTGACTAACTGGTCCGAGTTTTGTCAGCAACTTAAATTTCTTCGGGGACTCGCCTCTCTCTGTACGCCATTTACATATTCTAAGGAGTCGCCAAAGTAGACTAAAGGCGTCCGTCAACGTCAGTCGATGTTTCTTGGTCTTCCCATAGTAATCGCTGAGTCGGTAACCGATGGCGGACGATGACAGCAAAATGATGCCCAAGGTAGCTCACGACAAGCGTGCATATAAGGACAATGTCCCCACAAATTTTGACTCGTGTTTAATATCATTAGGCATGGCTCTCTTACCAAAAGGAGAGGATTAGTACATAAGATTAGGCAAGCCTAGTAATCCTATCATTAACATTGGCCCGGAATTCAATGTGTTGAGTTACATGTGCGAGACATCCTATGTCGGAGATTTAGAGCAATGTGAAATTTCAATCTCCGACATCAAAGATAAGGTCAGAGGTTGCTTAGATGTGATCTTTCAATCTCCAACATCCGAGATAAGGCTAGAGATTTAGACCCGGAATTGTGTGTGTTTAATATCATTAGGCATGGCTCTCTATGATTAATTTCAATCTCAAATATATTACTAAAAACATGTCACACCCCAAACTCAACAAGAATAAGGGCATGACACGGCCATCCTTTAACAAAAGGACGCAGCCTAAACATAACCAAAACTCACATGATATCAAAATATATGCAACCACATATATACATGATATAAAGTTTATTTGGTTACAATATCAAAGTTAACTACAATCCACCAAAAAAGCTAAGTACATTAAGCTCCACATCCATGTGTAACTCGTACCAAAAAGTCCCAACTATCAAAATGTTCTCTCCGACACCGGAACTCTCACGCCTACTAGCGTCTCGGTGAAGAACCTGAAAAACAAGTTAAATGAGAGGAATGAGCTACCACGGCTCAGTGAGTAATGCATTTCTTCTAAGTAGATCGAGCACCTACCATGCACACAGTTGTAAGACTAAACGAAAACTCAAATAACACAACATATAACCAACTCCAGGTTCAAAATACGTTGTATACTACTTTAAACATCACATTTTCACAATAGGAAAGCCCATTCCAATTAATAATATCAAAGAAGAAACCAATGGTCAAATCCATTGGCCAATCTCGGTGGTCCATTCCATTGGCCAATCTCATGCTCAGAAATCTAAGTATGATCACGGATAACGCCCCGTGAAAGGCGACCAAGATTCCCCCCTTGGCAAGGTCTCCACCTACTATAAGCCGGTGGCTCGGCCCACAAGGATATCCTAGACTAGTATGCGCATACCCACAACCCCTCATTTGGGTTCACAGAGACACTGAGCACCAAAATCCACAACAATATCATCCACCAATCTACAAAACCAATTCCAGAAATCATTTCATAAACCATTTCATAAACCGATATAAAACCCTTCATAAGCCACATTCAAATGCAAGAACTCCTCATGAGTCTTTCTCAAAAGGTTTCGCAAACCTATTTGCATTCAGTAAATTCAAACCGAAATCAAAAGATAATCTTTCATTTTAAATGCACAAGATGGCAGCAAATGCTCGATCCAATTTTATGTAATCAAAATGCCATTTCTTATATGATAACATATCTAATACATATCATTTTCTAAACATGAGTTTACAAATTCAAAGAAGAAATAGTACCACTCACCTTGAAAAGCTGAAAAACTAACCTACAGCGATTTCTCGAGCCGACACACTTGAATACCTAACAATAAGCCGAAAAACGGTATCAAAATCGAGTAAAATGTTACTTCAACTACAACTCGGCTCAACTAGGCTTAGATGCTAATATAACAACTAAAAGACGCCCTCAAAACGCTCGTCTAACGCGATTATCCAAAATCGCCCACAATACAACGCCTAAGCGCAAAACTTGATTGCGCCATAACTTTCTCCAGTAAACTCCAATCCAAGCAAGTTTATAGTCAAAAGAAAGCTTGTTCGGAGCACTACAGGAACCCCAACTTGGCAGCCCCAAAATCGAGCCGAAAACCGACGAAAATCGGCCTAAAAACCACTGTTCGCGTACTGTTCACTGCGCGCACTCAACTTCAAAAATTCATATCCAGCAAATCGTAAGTCCAAATCAGGCTCCGTAAAATCCCACAGCTCCGCAACACTGTAAACTACCAATTCTATAAAAATACGCAGCTGAACGACTCAAAAATCAGACTTCGCCGCTCGAATTTCCCAAAATTCCGAATTTAAACCCTAAATCGGAAAACTTCTCCGATCAAACGAACGAGGGGCGCGAGTACTTACCGAGCGTTGCGATTCGAAGTCGAATCGGCTAGGCGAGGTCCGCGCGGCGCAAAACCCTCTTCTCTCTTCTCTTTTTCTTCTTCTTCTTCCCTTTCCTCTCCTTTCTCCTCTTTTCCGTTTCTGTTTTTCTCAGCCAAGGAGCTCTCGGCCTCCTTTTTAATTTGGCCGAGAGTCCACTGTAGCTTATGTTGACTTGTTGACCTTTTTTTTTTTTTTTTTTTTTTTTTTTTCAGAACCCATATTTTACATTCTCCCCTCCTTAAAAAAATTTCGCCCTCGAAATTTAGAGCGAAATTTAGACGTGCCTCAATCATCGAACAAGTGAGGGTATTTGCGTCTTGCCTCCTCCTCAAGCTCCCAAGTGGCCTCCCTCTCGGTGTGGTTTTGCCATTGAATCTTTACGTACGGAATAGTGCGTTGTCGTAGCACTTGATCTTTTCTATCAACAATGCGTACTGGTTGCTCGTCATATGATAGGTTTTCCTTTAACCGCAAAGGTGTAAAGTCAAGCACATGTTCAGGATTTGGCACATATCTCCGCAATAAAGACACATGGAACACATCATGCACGCCCGATAACGCTGGTGGTAAAGCCAGTTTATAAGCAACTTCACCAATCTTCTCTAATATTAAGAATGGTCCCACATATCTTGGACTTAACTTACCACGAGTGCCAAATCTCATAACGCCTTTCATTGGAGAGACTTTGAGGAATGCATGATCTCCCACATTGAACTCTACCTTGCGTCTTTTGAGGTCAGCATAGCTTTTCTGACGGCTTTGTGCTGTTCTCAAATGCTCTCGAATCACCCTGACTTTCTCTTCTGACTGCTGAATAAACTCTGGACCGGTTAATCTTTTCTCACCAACATCATCCCAACATACGGGAGTTCTGCATTTTCGACCGTATAGAGCTTCAAAAGGAGCCATCTTGATGCTAGAATGATAGCTGTTATTATAAGAAAACTCCGCCAAATGAAGGTGTTCGTCCCACGAACCGCCAAAGTCAATAACACAGGATCTTAGCATGTCCTCTAATGTCTCGAATCGTTCTTTCGGATCATCCCATCTGTTTTGCGGGTGAAAAGCCGTGCTAAAGTTGAGTTTAGTACCCAATGCTCCTTGCAAACTCTTCCAAAAGTTAGACACAAACCTGGGATCCCCGTCGGAAACAATGCTCACCGGCACCCCATGAAGCTTCACTATCTCATTAACATACCGCTTCGCCATATCCTCAAGTGAAAGACCGAATCGATATGACAAAAAGTGAGCAGATTTAGTCAATCGATCGACAATCACCCATATAGCATTCTTACCACTAGGTGTCCTCGGTAGACCGACGATGAAGTCCATGGTAATATGCTCCCACTTCCACTTAGGTATTTCAAGTGGGTGTAGCTGTCCACCTGGTTTTTGATGCTCAATCTTCACTTGCTGGCAAACCAAACACTGGTCAACAAACTTCACGATATCTTTCTTCATGTTGATCCACCAAAAATTCTCTCTCACATCCCTGTACATTTTAGTGCTTCCCGGATGGATAGAGAATCTCGTACTATGAGCTTCCTGCAATATCTCTTTTTTCAATCCCGAATCATCAGGAACGCATAGCCGACCATGAAACCTCAATGACCCATCTGCATGGATACTGAAGTCCTTTTGTCTCCCAGCTTCTACTCCTTCTCTAATCTTTCCCAACTGAGAATCCCCATTCTGTTTAGCCTTAATTCTATCAATCAACATTGGTTGTACTTGAAGATTAGCTAATCGAGCACCAAGCTGATGTACCAATACCTCCAAGTCCAACTTCCTCATATCCTCAAGAATAGGCTTCTGAGAAGTGAGCAATGTAGCCATGTTTCCATAAAATTTACGACTTAGGGCATCGGCTACTACATTTGCCTTACCTGGATGGTAATTGATAGACAGGTCGTAATCCTTTAAGAGTTCTAGCCATCTCCTCTGTCTCATGTTTAATTCTTTCTGAGTAAAGATGTACTTCAAACTCTTATGATCAGTAAAGACCTCACATTTCTCACCATACAAGTAGTGCCGCCATATCTTCAAGGCAAACACAACCGCTGCTAACTCTAAATCATGAGTGGGATAGTTTTTCTCATGTACTTTCAACTGTCTAGAGGCATAGGCTATAACTTTACCATTCTGCATAAGAACACAACCTAAACCTTCCTTAGATGCATCACAGTAGATTGTGAAACCACTAGTACCTGAAGGCAATGTCAATATAGGAGCCGACACTAACCGTCTCTTCAACTCTTGGAAACTGCTCTCACACTGATCTGACCACACAAATTTAACTCCCTTCTGAGTTAGGCGAGTAAGTGGACCGGCAAGTTTAGAAAATCCCTCCACGAACCGCCTATAGTAGCCCGCTAGACCAAGAAAACTTCTCACTTCTGTGACATTGGTAGGGCGACTCCATTGGACAACCGCTTCAACTTTCCTCGGGTCAACCGAAATGCCATCCTTCGAGATTATATGGCCTAAGAATTCTATATGATCAAGCCAGAAATCGCACTTACTGAATTTAGCAAACAACTTCTTTTCACGCAAAGTTTGCAAGACAAACCTCAAGTGTTGTTTATGTTCCTCCAAACTCTTCGAATACACCAAAATATCATCAATAAACACCACAATAAACTTATCAAGATATTGCCTGAACACCCTATTCATCAAATCCATGAAAGCAGCAGGTGCATTTGTTAATCCAAAAGGCATGACAAGAAATTCATAATGGCCATACCTTGTCCTGAAAGCAGTTTTAGGTACATCATCTGCCTTTATCTTCAACTGATGATACCCAGAACGAAGGTCAATCTTAGAAAATACCTGAGCTCCCTGAAGTTGATCAAACAAATCATCAATCCGGGGCAAAGGGTATTTATTTTTTATCGTCACCTTATTAAGTTCTCGATAATCGATGCAAAGCCGCATACTACCATCCTTCTTTTTCACAAAAAGAACCGGAGCTCCCCAAGGCGAAACGCTGGGTCTAATAAAACCCTTATCCAATAATTCTTGCAGCTGAATTTTTAATTCCTTCAATTCAGACGGTGCCATCCGATATGGTGCCTTAGAGATAGGCGTAGTACCAGGCATCAAATCAATAAAAAAATCAATCTCTCTATCAGGAGGCAAGCCAGGCAAATCTTCAGGAAACACATCTGGAAATTCTCTGACAATAGGAATATTTTCAAGCTTTACAACATCTTTACTTGTGTCTTTTACACAAGCCACATAACCACAACAACCCTTCCTCAAAAGCTTTCTCACTTGTAAAGCTGATATCAATCTTGGCAAAGTGCCTTTACAACTTCCCGAAAAAGAGAATTCGGGTTGATTTGGAAGTCGAAAGACAACCTTCTTAGAATAGCAATCAACAGTTGCATGATATGTGGATAACCAATCCATTCCCAAAATAACATCGAAATCCCATATATCTAACTCCACCAAATCGACAGGTAATACTACATCATTAATCCGGAGCAAACATCTCTTGTACACACGGTTAGCAATCAGGAAATTTCCAGTAGGAGTATCAACATACATTTCATGCTCAAGAGGCTCAGGCAACACATCAAGTTTCCTTGCGAAGTCAATGGCAATAAAGGAATGCGTAGCACCCGAATCAAACAGCGCATACGCATATTGAGAGGCAATACAAATATTACCTGCAACAACTGCGTTGGACGCCGCCGCATCCTCCTTTGTTATCGCAAAAACTTTCCCAGTCGTCTTTTGCCTTTCCTGATTTCCTTGGGGCCTACCAAATTGAAGATGCAGCTTCCTCATAGAACAAGCGGATGCTAGGTGCCCAAAGTTGCCCACAAACAAAACACACCCTACTATCTCCAGTGGATATCCTTCTGTGTAGGACAATCACGCGCCATATGTCCTATTTTCCCACAAAGGAAGCAAGCTCCTGTCTTGCGGTAACAAGGACCGCTATGACGCTTGCCACAAGTAGCACAAGGACCCGGATTACTCTGAATCTTGGGCCTTCCTGACTGATTGAAATCCCTCCGCTTTTTGCTACTATTGGTCCGACTATCATGATAATCAGTGGGCTTAAACCTCTTGTACTGAGGTGTACCCTGTACGCCGCTCTCCAACATGTCTTGCTCCACCCTAATCGCTCGATCCAAGACATCTTTGTACGTAGTCAGTACAAAAGGCGTGAGAATACTGCGAATATCAGGTCGAAGTCCTCGCTGAAAGTGTTCTGCCCTCCGCTTTTCACTAGCCACGAAGCCTTCCTCGAATCTACTAAGCTGATTAAAGCGGGCTGCATACTCCATAACTGACGAGCTACCTTGAGATACATTTGCAAAGTCACTCCTCATTTTCGCTTGGAATGACTCGGGGAAGAATTGGGCATTGAATGCTTCAGTGAAGTCCTTCCAGGAAATGATTACATCAGTACCTCCAAGGGCGGGTCTAGTCCCCTGCCACCAACATATAGCTTCACCTTCCAAATAACGAGTGGCAAAGTTAACCTTTTGATTGCCATGAACATTTTCCGCTCTAAAGATTTCCTCTATGCTTCTAATCCAACCATCGGCCTTAAGAGGATCAAACTTCCCATCAAACTTAGGTGGATCTGCCTTTCTGAATTGTGCGAAGGTGCATGAGTCAGTGGTGCCACCTTCACTTAATTCCTTCGCCTGACGATACCAATGAATCATTGCTTGAGCGAAATCAGTCGGAGGATTAGGCTCTTGGGGTTCTTCCCTAGCTTCTGGTGAGTCGGAACTCACTTCATATTGGTCCTCCCGTCTCCTCTTTAAAGTCACACCTTGAGAACGTTGAGGCATATCTCTAGAGTCAGAAGTAATGACTCGCTTGCCTTTATTCTTCTTAAGAACTGAGGCAAGTGGCTCCGAGTCAGAACTCATGGTCGCCTGAACCCAAGAATGAAATACCACTTAGTATATAAAAATCTAGCGCAAAAATCTATCACACAATCTCACAACGTCCCATATCTATACTCCAAAAATCAAAACTTATGCTCTGATACCAATAAATGTCACACCCCAAACTCAACAAGAATAAGGGCATGACACGGCCATCCTTTAACAAAAGGACGCAGCCTAAACATAACCAAAACTCACATGATATCAAAATATATGCAACCACATATATACATGATATAAAGTTTATTTGGTTACAATATCAGAGTTAACTACAATCCACCAAAAAAGCTAAGTACATTAAGCTCCACATCCATGTGTAACTCGTACCAAAAAGTCCCAACTATCAAAATGTTCTCTCCGACACCGGAACTCTCACGCCTACTAGCGTCTCGGTGAAGAACCTGAAAAACAAGTTAAATGAGAGGAATGAGCTACCACGGCTCGTTGAGTAATGCATTTCTTCTAAGTAGATCGAGCACCTACCATGCACACAAGCTTGTAAGACTAAACGAAAACTCAAATAACACAACATATAACCAACTCCAGGTTCTCTAAAATACGTTGTATACTACTTTAAACATCACATTTTCACAATAGGAAAGCCCATTCCAATTAATAATATCAAAGAAGAAACCAATGGTCAAATCCATTGGCCAATCTCGTCGAAAAGCACACGCCAATGGTCCATTCCATTGGCCAATCTCATGCTCGAAATCTAAGTATGATCACGGATAACGCCCGTGAAAGGCGACCAAGATTCCCCCTTGGCAAGGTCTCCACCTACTATAAGCCGGTGGCTCGGCCCACAAGGATATCCTAGACTAGTATGCGCATACCACAACCCTCATTTGGGTTCACGAGACACCGAAAGCACCAAAATCCACAACAATATCATCCACCAATCTACAAAACCAATTCCAGAAATCATTTCATAAACCATTTCATAAACCGATATAAAACCCTTCATAAGCCACATTCAAATGCAAGAACTCCTCATGAGTCTTTCTCAAAAGGTTTCGCAAACCTATTTGCATTCAGTAAATTCAAACCGAAATCAAAAGATAATCTTTCATTTTAAATGCACAAGATGGCAGCAAATGCTCGATCCAATTTTATATAATCAAAATGCCATTTCTTATATGATAACATATCTAATACATATCTTTTTCTAAACATGAGTTTACAAATTCAAAGAAGAAATAGTACCACTCACCTTGAAAAGCTGAAAAACTAACCTACAACGATTTCTCGAGCCGACACACTTGAATACCTAACAATAAGCCGAAAAACGGTATCAAAATCGAGTAAAATGTTACTTCAACTACAACTCGGCTCAACTAGGCTTAGATGCTAATATAACAACTAAAAGACGCCCTCAAAACGCTCGTCTAACGCGATTATCCAAAATCGCCCACAATACAACGCCTAAGCGCAAAACTTGATTGCGCCATAACTTTCCTCCAAGAAACTCCAATCCAAGCAAGTTTATAGTCAAAAGAAAGCTTGTTCGAGCACTACAGGAACCCCAACTTGGCAGCCCCAAAATCGAGCCGAAACCGACGAAAATCGGCCTAAAAACCACTGTTCGCGTACTGTTCACTGCGCGCACTCAACTTCAAAAATTCATATCCAAAGCAAATCGTAAGTCCAAATCAGTTCAAAATCCCACAAATTCTCCGCAACACCGTAAACTACCAATTCTATAAAAATACGCAGCTCGAACGACTCAAAAATCGACTTCGCCGCTCGAATTTCCCAAAATTCCGAATTTAAACCCTAAATCGGAAAACTTCTCCGATCAAACGAACGAGGGCGCGAGTACTTACCGAGCGTTGCGATTCGGTCGAATCGGCTAGGCGAGGTCCGCGCGGCGCAAAACCCTCTTCTCTCTTCTCTTTTTCTTCTTCTTCTTCCCTTTCCTCTCCTTTCTCCTCTTTTCCGTTTCTGTGTTTCTCAGCCAAGGAGCTCTCGGCCTCCTTTTTAATTTGGCCGAGAGTCCACTGTAGCTTATGTTGACTTGTTGACCTTTTTTTTTTTTTTTTTTTTTTTTTTTTTTTTCAAAACCCATATTTTACAAAACATACATTGAATACCATGAGGATGGTTAAGACGTGTTATCGTGATATGGTCCAACAAAATATATACAATATAAATTAATTAGTCAAGATAATTATCAAGTGAATTCACAAATATCTTACTTTCCAAAATTGAATTTTAATTTGTCTTCTCTCTTCCATTGAACTATCTTTCCCAAATTAATTTTCATATTTATCACTCTCTCCACACAAATTCAATTTTTTTTTCTTTTTTTCTTTAAACCACACGTGTGCAATTTTTGCTAGTTTTTAAGAAAAAGAGAATTTACTTCTCCCAATCGTTTACTCAGACATATAACGAAATGAAAATTTCGAGTGACTTGTACAAAAGCTCTAACCAACATTCAATGATTAAAATTTATATATCCTTAGAATTTTCAATCTCTATTTTATGGCCTTCTATTTTCCTTTTTCCTTTTATAAACATTTTCTTCTTTTTGCCTAGTAATTTTGTGGTCCACAAACCTGGGCCAAGATTGAGGACATCTCAGCTGGATCTCCTTATCCAAGTCGGGACCCACATCCATTGGCGAATCTACCGCTCACAAGCTTCCACGTCAGACATTTACTTAAGTCCCGCAGAATCACACGATGACCAATATGATGATGCCATAGCTTTTTAATGATGCACATACCAAGAAAATCATTGAATTTTCATGTTGCTCTAATTGCCACGGAAACAAGGTAGCTATGAGACGAAGGAAAAGAAAAATAATACATTTAATCGTTGAACTTGCAATAATTTTTCAATGTGATCCCTGAACTGATAATTTAGACAATTAAGTTCTTGAACTTGTTAGATTTTTCTAATCCACTTCATATTCCAACTCCGACAAATTGAAGCCAACGGTAGTGGGCGGAAATTGGATGTGAAAATAATCGGTCGTGCTAGAAATTGAAAGGCTAGTGAGAGCTTGCTTAGTAGCTTTTCGGACTATTATATATTCAATTTGGTTGATGCAAATTGATTGCCCATGGCGACACCGACCCTTTTTTTTGTCACATACCAAAACTTGTGACGGGGACTGACAGAGACATCAAGCTCGATTTGCCGGGATCGGTGACCAAAAGAGTTAATTAGGAAACATATTACGGATACGGGGATTCGGTCGCAAAAATTACAAATGTGAGGGCCACATTGAAGAATCAGGAGGGTATTCAGGGACTGATCGTCCACAATTTCTAATAGATAGGGGGGAACGCGAGAGAAAACAAGCAGCCAACAAACCAGAGGCTCGTGGAGGACCCAAGATAGAGAAAAAGAGAGAAGAATGGCTGCTGCTTCTTTCACCATCCACTCATCTTCTTCTCTTGTTCCCGCGACCAGAGCTTCGAAGAGTTTCCATGGAGGCCGCCACCATCACCAGTTCCTCATCTTCCACGGTCCCGAACAAGCCTCCAGAGCCTCCAGGAAGCCCCTCTCTCTCAGGGTCCGAGCTGCCAAGCTTCCCTCTGGGGTACCATCAAACTCTCTCTCTCTCTCTCTCTCTCTCTCTCTCTCTCTCTCTCTCTCTAGGATTTCAGCTCATCTTGGAATTACTGGAAGCGCAGGTGGAGGTGCCGAAAGTAGAGCCCAAGTTCCAGGCTCCATTTCTTGGGTTCACAAGAACTGCCGAGGTTTGGAACTCCAGAGCTTGCATGATTGGCCTCATCGGGACTTTCATTGTCGAACTGGTCAGTCAGCCTCGTCTTTCTAGCTTAGTAATTTCTTGATCCTTTTATTTCAAGGACGTTCTGGTATTATGGTTTACTAAATTTAGTGATGCTTGATATGAGAGAGAGTAAATTAACTTGTGCTCTTGAGACACTTTAAACATGTCTAATTAGGAACAATCGATTTTCATGATAGCAATTTTACATAATATGAATTGATAAGTTTTTTTTCGAGAGCACTCTCGTCGGCAGAATTCTATAAAATAATCCGACAAATTATAAATGACATTTAAGTTAATGGTGCCATCCCAAACACCCCGCGAAATTCTGTAGTATTACTGTGTGTCAATTTAATATCCGGTCTTAATCTCTTCTATGGCATTATTCTAGTAAAACCTTGCATCAAATTTTTGCGCACCCGATGATGGTTTTTTCTTGATTTTGATCAGATAATACACAAAGGGATTCTTCAGGTGATTGGAGTGGAGGTGGGCAAGGGCCTCGATCTTCCTCTCTGAGAAATTTCAACTCCCCTCATGTTTGAAATCTCCCTCTTTAGAGATAGTAAATACAATGACTTCATGTTGGTGACAACTCCCTTTGACTCTACCACTCTTGCTGCATAACGAGTAACCCTGTGCTGCTACACTGGCTTTTCTTGTTGAATAGCTTGCATAGTTGATTCCAAAGGTTTTAATTTTTGCTTGCAAATGACACTAACATCTTCCTCTCTTGACCATCAACAAGACAGTACAGCAACTACATAAAAGAGTATGAATTTGATCCTTCTCAATGAATAGCTAATTTGGATGTCTTCGATACAGAAGTTGGCAGATGTATGAGAATCAATTTTTACTAATCACTACCAGGTTTCGCTTGCTGAACACCAGATCATGTCGACATCGCAATAAAAGAAGCATCAACTTTAAACCTAGAGGAAACCGAATTTGACATTTCTTGCCAATAGCAAGGGCTAATAAACTACAAGCCGTATGTACAAATTGCACCATAAGCAGTTGAACTAAAAGGGACTAAAATTGAAACATCAAATGCTTTGTAGTCACGAGGCAGCTAACCTCCCTGGTGTTCACAATCAGCTAATCAGAAAATGGTAGAGATCACTCCGAACAGACAAGATGCAACTGTAGCAAAATTTTAACCGTTTCAATCATTTTCGGAACCCAACATAGTATGACAAACTTATTCATATCACTTCACTCTATTTGAAAAAGCTATACGGGACTCATAAGTTGAAAATCACTTTTTCCTTGGCTTAGATGCCTCATGATACGCTGTTACATTCTCTGTTAATACTAAAGAAGCTCAAACTTCTACTGAGTAATAAGAACACAGCTTACAGAACCCGGCAGATCCGAGAATCTACAATTGGCACTCGAGAAGAGGACTTGGAACAATCAAGCGCCTCGGATAGTGACATGCGACCATTCCTCCATGCAGACTCTGCCCAGCTCTTCAGTCTCTCTCCCTCGCCCTTTCTATTCTCCTGAACACAGAGGATCTCTGCATGCGCACCTACATTAAGGCATGTAGCTTGTCAATGGACAAAGGTTATTTAGAGCTGTAAGCCAGCATATCCACGAGAGGTCCTATTGCATGTGTGAAAAGCAGGATACAAAGTATCTCTAACAGGCATGACAAATATGTTCTTAAAAACCATGAGACAAATGCTAAGCCAGACTGCTATAGCAAGAGAAAAGATGACAGTATTGACTAGAAACATGTGGACCTTCTCATTTCCTCCATAAAAACCTGATTAGATCCTTTAGTTGAAAGCTATCCTTGTAATTCTG